AGCCAGAATTTTTTTTCTCTTTAATCAATTTTCTACCTTGCTAATTTAATTATTTAATTTTATTTGAGCAAAGCTGTTTAATGCAAACTTTATATGAATGAAAAAAGTATTTAATTTTTTCTTGATGGTGTTTTTTAACCAACAATTTCTAACAAAATAACTCAACAGGGATTATTATAAAAAAAATATCTTTCAATATATCCAGAAAATGTGTATCCATTTTTTCCGATAGCATTCCCGCTAAAAAAGTCTAAGTAACAATACGGCTTTCATTTCACGCTCACGGGAGCGGCACCGTTTGACGCAACAAATGTGCGCAATATTTCCTAATTTCCCAGGATCACTACTAATACTCCCGCTGGGAGTAGAAAAAGCAACTTTTTCCCGGAAGAAGGTGCGGCTGGAGGAAGCTCGTGTGTGTGTGTGCTCGAGTATTTAGTTTTTCGCCCAACTCCTGCGGGACTTCTAAAATAGAAAAAGTGCGTCCCGACAGTAGCACGGCTGCCACGCGCAGCCCGCTCTGGGAAATAGACTTTCATATTCCCATTTATCCTTGTTTGTTGCGGGCAGGAAACCATAAGTGAGCGCCCAGTCTTGCTTGCGAAGAGCAGGCGTCGTTTTTCACGAGATTTTCGCCGAAGCAGCAAGTCGCATGGGGATTTGCCGGAGGCGGCTTCCGATTTTACTGCTCTACACGGAGCAGTCTTTTGCCACACCAGCCAAGGTGAAAACATTTTATGGCGAGAATATAGAAAACAAACAGATCGAACGTAAGTTTGAATTGAAAGACGGTGCAAGTATATTGACCGAAAAGTGGCTAAATTAAGCAAATATTTAAATGATAATACATATAATTATTTCAATATCAATGATAATAATGTCTCGATTTATTTAATTTTCCATCTTTTTTTGAACTATTGGAGGAAATTCAATTGAGATGTGGCTAGCTGTATGTAAGTATTATTTAAAAAAAAAATACTAAAAATTACTATGAAGAAAATGATAACATTGTTATTTTTTATTACAAAGATATAACTTTTTAATACTTTTATTTGATTTTTGTTTATATTTTATCATAAAGTACGTTTTTTGATATCGTTGAATTTTTTAACATTGAATATTATATTTTTGTTCCTAAAAAAAAATATTTATAAAATAATATATAAATTCAATTTTTGGCATTGATGAGTAAATGACAAATTCAATTTGATATCGTCCTCATAAGAATCTCTAATTGTAGGCAGATGATATATCATCGGACATCTATCTATATACAAAATTCTTAAATCAAATATTTTCAGATAAAAAAAATTGAATCGCACAAGAAAAGAGGTAATGGAATTTTTGCCATTTATGAAAAGTTATTTAAAAGGGGATATTTTTTGAGTAAATGGCTTATTCAAGCATATTTGTTGTGGAAATAAAACTTACAGAATGTTATATAGTAAAAATTTGATATTATGCTTGCTGAAAATAAGCAACCATGCAAACTTCGTAAGAACCGCAATTAATAAATAAACACTTTCAGACTCTGTTAATGAGTTTCGGCGGGCAGAAATAATTTATGATCAAGTGCAAACTCGGCTGAATGCAAATAGCAGCCATTACCATGTAAAAAGGCTGCCGAGAAAAATGGCAGAAAAACAAAAAAAAGATGAGATAAAGTTGGAAAGTGCCGCCGGAACTAATAATACTATAGAACGGGCGTGTTGTGGCTATTCCATTCAGACTTATTATGTCTAGTAGATATGTTTTTGGACAATCTCCAAAGTACGGTGGTGCGTTTTTATTGGCCCCAAATCATCGCCGAAAGGAAAAAAAACACGCTCCCCGGTTTTGCGACAGCTTTTGCATCTTAATTCCGAGTCTCTTAAAAGGCAGCCACTTAAAATAGAGACATAAATTGGGAATTTCAATATTGCCGGTGTTATTTTTCTCCGACACCCTCTCTTTTTCTCGAACATGAGGGGCCATTATGATTTCAGACACGTTTCGCTTCTCTTCATTCCGCCAGCTACTCTCGCTTGCACAAGGCGATAAATAAATTTCCTGCAGCTCTCGCTGGAGAATAAAACAAGGAGGAAAGAAAGAAAGAAAGTAAAAAGGTGGAAGAAAAAGAGAAGGGGTGATTTATCAAAAGAGAAGTTTGGCTGCACCTGCAGCAGCTGTCGAATCAGTCCAATTGTTCTCAGCTGGACCGAGATTCGTTTTCGAAACGAGCAGAATATTATGAATCTTCCCTCTTTGGCCGCGAAACAATGCATCGCGAGTGCAGAGTGAAAAGCGCAGCAATTATAATCACGGCGACGCGAGATGAAAAGAGAAAAAGGCCAGGAATTCCTCCTCGGCGCCTCCAATTAAAATCCTTTCTCGAGTTTCAGCGACGTGAATTTATTTCACGCAAGCCTCTCTGGATCCTCTTTTCTTTGCCGGCTCTTTTCTCTCTCTCTCTGCCTCACAATGGAACGAATAATCTTCTCGGTGAAACAAAAGGCTCGGATTAATTCCACTTCGATTGAAAGGAATATTTTTAACTCCCAATAAATCGGAAAATATAGAGCGGCGGCGAAGACGGAGCGGCAGTGAATATAAAGAAAGGCGGAATTCTTGCGAGCTTTACTCTTCCACTAACCTGAATATTAAACGTCTGGATTTACGAGAGGGCAAGCAGCGCCGAGAGTTTATGGGAAAGGCGGATATTCTCGTGAGAAGAGGCAATTATTGAAATCGTAAAAATGTTCGTTTGACTTGTGAAATTAAAAACTTTTGCTCAGAACTCAGAATATATTCATAAATTTTAGCTGATTGCGAATTGCTCTTTTTTTAGTTCGTTCCTCTAATTGGGATTCTTACAAAAACTGAATTTGAAACTTAAATTTCCATTTTCTTTCATGATTTAAAATAATTTTATTTAAAAAATTTATATTGAAATGAGAAAAAATATCAGCATAATAACTGCCATTTCAAATCGATTCATCTTAAAAAGTTTATTCTTCACAAGTTTAGTGGGACCAGTGGCATTTATAATATTATGAAAACAAAATAAATTTAAGATGATTGTGCATTAGAAAAGAAATTTTATTTATAAAATTCACCTTTCAATAAAATATTTAAAATAGTCAATAAACTGGAACAAAAAAATTATGTAAACATTAAAGGCATTAAATATTAAAAAACAGATTTAAATTTTATTTTAATTTAAAAAATAAATTAAATTGTGCTAAATTATAACGAATAACATCTGTAGCCTGACAAAAGAGAATGGAGTATCGTCCCTGGTTAAAAATGCAATTAATTCTAGTTAAACAAGGAGCTGAGGCGTAATTGCGAAAGCTCTAATTAAGGGCAGAAAAACTTTTCACGCTATTCTCCTTCTTGGTCTCCCTCTGGAGAGCCTTGAACAAAATCAGAGCCGGGAACGTCGTCGGTGTTAATTTGGGCCTTCCATATTGCTGTTTGCTTAACAGGTCGGATCCTGGCGAGATGTTTGTCGAGCAAAGCTCGTCTTCTCTCTTTTTTCGCACTGCGTGCTGCGGCGCACAAATAGAAAGATCCAACGACTGGAACGCATTACGCCGCTCGTGGCAATATAATAATCCGGCGGCAATATCTAGTCGCACCCCTCGGGGATGAAAACAAGAAGACGCCGCCGCCGCTTTTATATATAAATACCTATCTCTTTCGGGTGCTGCAGAATGTGTGCTCTTGCCGGCTACGTGGTCCAGATATCAGATGAGATATTACTTTTTTTTCTATATAAAAAGGGAGAACGCAGAACAAACATAATACCTCAATCAGGCTCCGCAGTGCGGGCCAAAAATTTCACTTCTCTTTCTCTCTGTGTGCCGGCGCAGAATGGATTGCTGCTCGCCAGCTGAGCTGCGATTTTTCCGCTTTTCCCATTTTGCTATTATGACAACATGACTTCTTGCTTCTGGCTTGTCCGACGGAGCCGGAAGATTAATTTCTGGCTTTCTGTGCGATTTTGACGTTTAGCGTCTCCCTTTACGTGACTCAAATGGACAAGCAGAACTTGTAATTTTAGGTCATATGGGACTTGATTTTCAATTAAAAGTTACAAGATTTTTTAATTTGAAATCCTGGTAAAAACAAAATATGCAGGGAATAAATGTTAGAAAATATTATAATTCTGTACAAATGAAAACGGTGACAAAACAATCTTGCAGTCACATTTTGATTTTTGTGCCAAACTTATTTAAAATTACTAATTTATTACTAATTTTTTTTATATTGGGGGTTATTCACATGCTAAGTTAGCACCAGCAAATGTCATAAGCAAGTTAGCATGTGAATATCATCCATTATTTTTAATTTTATCAACAATTTTTATTCCGACGATAAAGCCGCATGAATTGAATCAAAGTTAATGAGCCATATTTAATACAATAGCGATTCCTGTCAATGTTTTTTTAAATTAGTCTATTAGTATAATTAGGTAGTAGCAAATTTATATTCAATTAGAAAATGCCATGATTTTGAATAGTTTTTTATAGACTAAAATCATACTAAATAATAAGTTATACTGAAATTTTTAAATTCCAAAAATAGTTATATAATAAGATAAATCAAAATTATATTTAAAAAAAAAAATAATTTAATTTGAATTAAGAACCATAAAAATATTATTAAATTTACGTAAAAATATATTTTGTTTAATTTTCTCTTCATAAAGTAATGCAAGTTTAAATCCTTAAATTTCATAAATTCTGTGCTTATATCACATCCAAATTCAATATATAGCAAAAAATCGCAAACTTAAAAATTAAAAAAGCGATCACTTAACATTGCATTGATTATTATGAAAAAAGATAAATATGTGTGCACAGCGATTGGACAAATTAACTCCAGAGCTTCACCAAATATAAAAATTTAGCCTCTTAAAAAACACTAGATTTCAATAAATAACTCTTTGGAGCTTTTTAAACTATAATCTCTTAAAAAATTAAATTCATAATAATAATAAAAAATTAGGCACTTACACATTTCATAGGTGTTGGAGAGACTGGGCAGCAGCAGGAGGGTGGCGAGGCCGCCGCAAAGTGCCCACCTGATGATCCCAGCAAAGCTGCAGTGAAAGGCAAATCTCGCCATCGGGCCGGTCGGTTTTGCTGCTGCTGGTTGAGCTTCAGGACATCATCGAATGCTGCTGAAACAGACACGTACCGAGACGCATGTTATTCTCAAGTCAAGAATTTTTTTTCATATTCCTATACTAGAGAGAGAAAAGATAATCACAGCCTTTCGACCCTGCAGCAGGTGTACGGCGTATTAACTTTTTTAACACCTCGTCTCAAGAAGGCGAGGCTGTGTTTCGTGAAAGAAACCGTCGAGTGAGAAAAAGCAGCTTTTCAAACAATCACGCACGCTGCCGTGCTCTGTAATTTGGCCCTTTTTTCGTTCATTTTTATCCGTTTTATATAAAACGAGGAGGAGGAGGTCGGTCGCCGGTTAAGGAGCCGAGTGAGGAGAGATCTTGTTAGGCTAACTGGTTCTGAAAAAGGGACTCCTCTGTAATTTGGGATTCTTTTCGCAAGAGAATAAGAACATCCTGCCAAGATCGGTGCTCCACATTACATGTGCAGAAACTCGCGGGCAAATGTACTCTTTAATTAGGCGTGTCTTCTGCACGTCTCAGGACGTGCTATTTCTCACGCAAGAACGGATTTTATAGATTTTATAAGTACGTACTTTTGCAGAACAAGACCCATTACATTATGGAATGAATCTGAGTGTTTTTTACTGAAGATTAAAATTCATCATTATGCAGTACAAACGATAATCACTTCATTCCAAAGAGGTAGAAAAAGATTACTTAAATGTTCTGAGTTAATTAAGTCCGGTGTATTGATTTCAAAACATTGCTGACAAAACTTGTCAAATAATATCTCTATGAAAATCTCTACCCTTTAATGAGAAAAAAAATACCTTAAAGATAATTTTAAATAGTTTTTACTTTGATTTTTCTATGCGAGCACAGGTGAAAATTTTCTTTGGGAGATGACTTAATCATGGTCATTGAATATTTCTTTATTCCACGTTCGATTTTAAGTGACCATATGAATTAAAATTGAATTTTACTTCATTTCAAAAGCATAACTAGAAAAACAAATGTGTGTGAAGCTCATAAATTAATCAATAGAGCTTTAGAAAATTACATATTTGTATGTTGAAAATTTCCAATTGAGCCTCAATTTGGAATCAGATTTCATTGCGGAAATAAATTTGCATTTAAACAATTAAATTAATGATAAAAAGTTTTATTTCACCATAGCAGTTGCTATAAATGAATTTATGGAATCAAAAGAGATTCAATAAAGAGTAATTATTGGTTGAATTTTAATTTATTTAAATTTTTTTTCTTCGGTTCTAGTATTTATGCTTGAATGAAGTTAGAGTGGCATTCGTCGTGTTCCAAATTGAAGACCCAACGCGATTCTGTGTGCGTGAGTGGATAATTGGCCCGTCAAATCGAGCGCACATGTGGGCGCAATAATTCTCCCTCGCCCGACGGTGGCCGAGCAAACATACAGACGCGCAGCAACACTCTGGTGTCGGGCGGCGACGCTCCTATTAATAATGGCGACAAAAATATCTAATTACACAGGAGGCACAGAAGCATTAGAGAAAACCGGGCCAGCCACATCTGAGGCCGGCCGGCGCAAAACGAGAAAGCCCAAGTGTGCCCCCAATTGTAATTCGATTCCGCATCTTTGAACCCGAAGAAGAAGAAGAGAAAAACTTCTGCTGGAGAGGCTCATTATTTTCCCTCTCGTTTCTGCACGGCAGCTTTTCTTTGCTCTCATTGATGCTTGTTTTTTTTACATGTTTCTTTCATTATGGTGGGTGAGCATCGATGGGAATTCCTCTACAACGCCGGCGACGGCTTGACAATTGTTCACACAAATGTCATGCCGAGTGCTTTGAGAGGTTCACTCCGGATTTATGCGAGTGTTGGTTCGATATGTTGTCGTAAAGCGAGAGAGAGATGCTCGCACACACAGACATACGACTAAGTCAATGGAACGACTTGAATGCGTTTTTTATAGACTTGTTTACAACGATCCGATCCAATTACATTACACAACGCCGTACTTCTATATGAAATGAAAATGGATTGTCTGCAAATAAGTGCTTTGGAAGTAAGGTGCTTTGGAGAAATTGTGATATCAAAAGAATTTCATCCTTTTATTGGAACATAGGATCATATTAAATTTCATAAGCAATGCGTAAATTTCTAAAATGCTAAAAAAACATGCAAGTTTTTTAGAGATGAGCCAAAATCAGCATTTTATTTCAGAAAAGTAGAAAAAAAAAAATATTATAAATTTTGAGTGTTGAAAACTTCTATTTTACGAATTTTTTAGGATGCACAGAGTACAGTTTTTTTTGCCTCCTTTTAATTATGTATTTGTTCATATTTTTTAGACTGTAAAATTTCTACAATAAATTAGCAGAATATAGTAGCCGGCAGAGAAAAAAAATTCAGAAGCTAGTTAATTAGTTTAGCCGAACATCTCGTTCCAGTTTTCCCCTCAATTGCTGCAACTAAATACCAATGAATTCGTTGAAAAGAAATATACTATCGTGAAGTGGAAAAATAGGCTTTTTTATTTCAGAATGAGAATATTTTGTTTAAGAAAAAAGGCCCCTTGAATGCCTATTTTATCTCTAAAATAAAATCAGATAAGTTTCTTAAAAATCGGCTTTACCAGTTTAAATTTTCCTGATTAGGGGTACGTCAGGTTATTAAGTCAATTTTTCATGTTCAGTCCTTAAATTCTCATTTAAAATCGGATTTAACCAATTATGTCAGAATTTGCAAAACTTATTTTGACGATGATGATATTTTTGAAACCCAAATAAAAAAAATTATAGAAATGAAGAGATCGGGCTTTTCCTCGTTGCAGAAAAATTGTTTTTTATATTAAAAAACAATTGGCTCTTTCATCTCCTCGAGTGGCAACGTCTTAAAAAAAATTAATATTCAAATAACAGGATTGAACAGGATTTTCCATAAAACAAACGATAATTATCATGATGGCAAATTTATTTATAAACAAAGAGCGTAGAAATTGTAAAAAAAAAATCCATACTAATTTACAACGGCCGACAAGTCTTATGAACGCTTTGATCAATTACAATCTGGATAAAACGTCAATTTGTCTTCATTACTCCAATAATTCCTTTATTACACAAATTCCAGCGTCGGGGGGCTTTTCTATGCATTTACACGCAATCTCGGCAGACAATGTGCCAAGACTTGGTGCGCACCATTAATTTCAATAAGCAAGGCGTTAATGACAGCGCATTGTGTATGTACGTTGTTGGGATTTTGTAATGAGCCTCACATCCTGATTGCTCACGGCTCTTTCATTTTCACTCTCTCATCCTGCTGTTAACTTTTTTCTCGTTCGCGGCCGGGCAAAAAAAATCCATCGCTTTGCTCCAGCAGCCACTTCCTCGCAGATTCAATTATCAACGCCGTCGGAATGCGAAAATATCCCTGCCTGTTCGGTGGCCATTGTGCTGCGAAAAGCGTTTGTCAGCAATCCATCAGGCTGATGGCGCGTTCGCCAAACGCCGACTAGAATTCTGATCAGCATCCAAACGCTCAAGGACGCCCAATTCTCGCGACAAGGCTCGTCACACGTGCTTAGGTGGAAATTAATCACCCGAAAATGCTAATTTTGACCGGAGGAAGTGCGGCTTTCAATCCACAAATTTCATAATTAAAAGGCATGACAAGTTTGCTGGAAACAAAAATGAAAGTTATATACAATTTTTTTAATTAACTTAGATTTACTTAAATGCATTGAAAGGGATTTGAGACTTTCAGAAAATCATTAATTCATGGTATAAATGCTAATAAATTGATCTTTACAAATTTTTTTTTTTTTTCAGAAAATTGTTTTAGGACAAAAATTGACTAACTTCGAAGGTTTCTAGTTTGGAAATAATGACTGCCGCTGTCTAGAAATTGAGATTTTGTTAATTTGTTAGTTTTTGTTCAAAACCAGTTTTATAAAATAAGTTTAGATCCTTTTGTGATATGATTTATAATTATTTAAAGTCCGATTTATTTTTATTTTCTGGAACCCCTTTTATTTAAATATAAAAAAAATTCTTAATAAAAAAGAATATCTGTGGTAATCAAGAATTTTAATACAATTAAAAAGGTTGGAAAAGTTATTCCTGAAATTTATTCAGCAAATTATTTTCAGCAATACTTATTCCGTGTCTTTCCTTTTGAATTCCGCAGCTTTGAAAGAGTGAAAGAACAAAGAGAGCTACACACGCGAGATTATCTGCGATTCGAGATCTCCTCTTGGGGCCGAGAGCATATGTCCGCGCTCGTAATCAGATTAAAGCTGGTGCACAGCATCGTCTCTCTGTTTTCTGAGAGGAAGCATTATTCTTGTCGTCAAGTAAATAAACTCAGTCAGAGAGATGCATATCTGCGATGCGAGCCAGTTTTGTTTTCCAGCGCCGAGCGCCGCCGACCACCCTTGCGACTCCAAAGGACACGATATGCGACATTTAGCCTAACTTTCCTCATCTGATAAAAGCGCAAAGCTCGCTTCTTTTACATGTATTATATTGTGTGTGTAATGCAGATTGAAAATAATTTTCCTCCTACTCGACGTTTAAAAATACATTTCGAGCTGGTTATCAAGATCGGCACGCTTCGGACCTATGCTAATTGCTGCGCCTTTGAGAATTGGTGCGTGCATAATGAGCTCTTTGTTTTACTGTTTGTGGAATAGCTAAGAACATGCGGAAAGGAAAAACAAAATACTATTACTTCTTTAACCACATTAAAATTTAAAATTTTTTATATAATACTATAAAATAGCTTATTATAGTTTTAAAATTGTTTTCTTATTTTAACTATTTATTATTTTATTATTAATTGTGCAAAAGCTTTCTATCAATAATTCAAATTTTTTCATGAAAATTTAAGTAGTTCAATCAAAATGTTAGAACTAAATGTCTGTTATTTGTTAAAAAATAAATTACTGGTATTTGATGCTACCAATTATATGAGGGAAAATGTTAACGCAATATGGTTTGGGTAGGCTCTTGGGCTCAATAATTTATTATTCCACATTAAATGATGAAGCAATTAATTAGAAAACGTCCACTTTT